CCACAACTTATCGATCGGTATCGAAAGGGTACGGCGAAAGGTGAAGAAATCTACTTGATAACAATCCGGTAATGTGGGTAACTTTTACGATTTTTGCCGATGGATATCGCCACATGAAGTAGACGCTGTTTCGGATGTCTAGAAAGTTACTTCTTGCACTAATTTATTCGATCAACCTTGAGTGTATGTCACATACGATTGGATCGCATAGAGGTAAAATGGAACTTCGATTTCGTTTCCACTTCAGAATAAGATCAGCTGTATACGGTGAGCAGTTAATCAATATTTTCTATCCCCGAATGAGGTACCCTATGTGTGAGCTGAACAATTTCTGCTCCATTTCTTCCTGTCGTTTTCTGAGGATATGGAGCTAGTGATTACAGAATTACTTCAGTGTCAGTTGCGAAAATTCGGTCTGTTGGCGACTTTTTGGTATACACGTCATACAATTAGTCTACCACCAGTGGCCTCCATTGAGAGTTGTTTCTGGTAAACCTCAANATGAATACCATATTGCCGATGCGTCGAGTTCACTATATCAAACAATATCTCAAAGCCCTTCGACTCATATCCAGTACGGAAGAACGGGACTGTGCCCGATTTGTGAACAACACATTGGGCGCGGACGGAGTGTTCATTTTGCACGTGGTGTCCAAAATAGCGAGCGATCTGATCGCGTTAGACGTGACAGCCACACTGTGGAAAAATTATCGACAAGCGAAAATTACCGGGACCGAAGAGGATGTGAATCGGTTGTTAGAAACCGTGAATCGCGGCTCCTCGGTCGTGTGACATCAGTTCGGACGTCAGGAGACAAAGAACACCACTACTACCACCAGCAGTAGTACAGCTGAAATTTGACTGGCAGCTTGGATCTCATACAGAGTCAGTGCTTGAGAGTGCGTGCGTGCGTATGCTCGTGGAAGTTGGCCAACCGGCCGGAATCGTTCAGATTTCTGTGATGGAACTAGCGTGCAGTGTGGTTCTCTTAACTGGTATTGATCATTCTGCTTCATGTCTATCCATTCAATCTATAAAAAAACTACTCAGATCTTCTTCTATTCAGGTTGTAGAGCAACGATCGAGTTTTGTCGGAACGGAATTCTTTCCACAAGATGAACATTACCGCTGGCCTATCAGTTCTTGTTAAGAAACACGCGGTCCTTGTTACGAGGTGTTCCTTTCCGAAGCCAAGGCAATGATCTGAGAGTCCACTTTCACTGCGCAAGTCTTTCTTCCTACTGCCTCCATCCACGCATACACACAGTCACCCATCCATCCACACACATACACAAACTGATGCACTCATCTAGCCAACTATGATGCCGTCAATGCCCGAGGCTGTGGTCTACCCAAGAATGATGAATTGGGATTGTTATCTGAGTAGGACACACAGACACACCAGTACGTCAATCTGTTCGGGTAGAATGTACTCTTTGCTCCTCCCTGTTTTATCCTTGGGTTGTTCCAAAACAAAACATGATGTTGTACACACACACACACGTGCAAATAATCGACTGCAACTCCTGACGTCCGTCTCAACCCATGAAATACCCGATAGACAAACATACCGACAGACAGATTAATAACAGACAGACAGACAGACAGACAAACAGACAGACAGACAAACAGACAGACAGACAGATAGATAGATAGACAGACAGAAAAACAGCCAAACAGCCATATACAATTATATACCGATACAAAAAGAAGCACCAGACGAACTAGCGAATACTGTTTTCTGGATGCATGTTAGTCTTTCCGTGAAGAACCCCTTTACCCAGAAAAGTTCTTCAGATCCCTAACTTGCACTATGGCAACTATCGCTTCCACCACCACTACCACCACCAATTCTGTTCTGTCGCCGACCCCATCACCACCCCATACTACATACAATTTCTTTCATTCATTCCTTTTCCCACCCAATCAACCAACCAACCAAACAAACAACCAATCAACCACAAAACGACTAATTCGATGTTGCTACACAGTAGAATTATTTACCTATTACCTGAGGTTGGTATTCACTCCAAATTGTCAATCTTTCAAATTCCGAATGTGCTACGACAGACTATTTTGAGTTAGCTCCAGTCGATTTATGAACTATAAACTGACCATCAGAACACTAACGGATCAACAAGTTGACGCATTAGCCCAATCATTTGCCCAAAAGTGGTACATGTACAATTCAAATGACTGGACCAATCACATTGGGAGCAAAACAGCGAGCTCGCCGGAACGCATACACACACACACACGCTCACGTGTCGGCAAACGATCAATGGCTTTCCATCAGAATCGATTTCCTTCTTTGTTTTTTCGTTTTTTTTGCCTGTTCTTTTTTCTACGACGTTCGCTTGCATTTTTCTACGAATCTTACTTTAAACTGACCTTCATTAATGATCCAATCCACCTGGGGTCATGTGATCATGTGAAAATAGTGTTTTTTGTTTAAAGTTTCTTTGTGCTTCTGAAGAAGCTTGAATATGCGCATGGGGGCGTGTGTGTGTGTGTGTGCGCGCGCGTATGTGTAGAGTTTGGTATACGTATTGGAGGTGAAATCACGTAGACAAGAATCACGCACACACACACACAGCACGGCTGGATTGTCCATCATGACTGGGTGAGGATACCAGCAGCAAAACAACTGGTGGTACATTCCAGGAGGCCAAGGTGACACGGATCGACTGGGCAGTTTGTGCAATTGGACGATTCAAATGCAACTCATTCCAGTTCGACATGAGCTCCACAACAACCGTCACGGCAACCGGATGCACTCACAAGCACATTCCATGGTGCACATTTTTCGGTTTCAACTCGGGCACCTCCGATTTCAATCAATCAATTACCATTATCTCTCTCTCTCATCTCGGGGTGCTTGTTATCGAACTCTATTGGTTGCATGCAATTGTTGGTACGTGAGTGCTTCTGTTTGTGTTTGTGTGTGTGTACACACATGCCTACGTGTATACTCACGCGTTTGGGACTATAGTTGTATTTGGCTGTGTAACAGCACAAAGAGACTATTTATGCAATAACAGATCATACTGATGACAAATAAGACCGCAACTCAAGGAAACTTCATCACACGTGATAGGGACCCGAAGAATTTTCCAGCTAACATTATTCACCCTTTGCTCTCTGTGAATTTCTCAGAAGTTGTCCTTTCCTCTCACACTCCAACCCATCCCGCTCTGTGTTTTTTGCTGTCTTGTTCTGTTTATTCATTTATCTCGATCCAAAGCGCTTTCCCGTTATTTTGAAGAAATGATTTCAAGTCTAATCGTCATCATCCGCACAATCGATTCCACGATTGCGCGGGCAGTTAAACTCACTCGATTCCATGTAGTACTATTTCAAGCTTCGAACGAACAAGAAAAACTGAATTTTCCCTCCATAGTGATTATGATAATGCACAGGAATAGTCCGACCGGATTCAGACTGTCGATATGAAAAGATCCTACAACATGAATTCATTTCTTATCCCGTTCCAACAGTCCCCCCTGCCACCCAACCCGACAACAAATAACCTATCACTCTTCTTCTCTCTGCCAATCAACTGGGTAAACATGAGTTTCCACAGATAATTTTTTCTCTATTTCGCGTTCATTGTTCTCCAATCCGTTCACCAGTAATGCTACCTCAATTTTTCAGCGATCACCTCATGATACTGCTACTGCTGTCGCCGCTGCTACTGTTACTATCTTCATCACCAACCCCTCCCCCCGCCCGCCCGCCCGCCCCCACGCGTCAAGTGCGCATGTGTATGGTGCGCGACACCAAATACTGATTGGGTGCAACACGGTGTGCGTGATCACTATTCACATAGGAATATTCTTTTTTGTAATCTGCACTTTGATTCAAACAACAACAACAACAACAACAACAACAACAACAACAACAACAACAACAAGAAGAAGAAGAAGAAGAAGAAGAAGAAGAAGACACAATAACAATAACAGCGATTTTGGTTATGCTGTTTACAAGTACACCGTTTGAGTTTATCCATTTCTTTCTGTCTCAACTAGTTCATACCCTCTCCTTGGATTCTGTTTTAAGCTTATGCTTTCAACGCACACGCACACACTATTTTAAATCGGCATGAAATCAGACCAAAACTGAATTTTTAGCTTCCGTCGAGAAACCAGCACGGTTCTTTTGTCGGTCGCGAAAT